TCTTCTTCTTCTTCTTCTTCTTCTTCTTCTTCTTCTTCTTCTTCTTCTTCTTCAAATGCCAAATCAGACCAGAAACAGAGGTTAGCGATCAGGGTTAACAACTCATTTCTCCCTCTCAGATGTTCTCACACACCTATATGTGTCACGACACGATGGAATCGAGCGTTCGTCGATTTTTGGGCATAATATGTAGTCATTAGCATAAGCTCAGATCCTTCGTTAAACTTGCTTTTTTGGGAAAAAGATATCTATAACTATATCTTGAATAGTAATTGAGATATTCGTGATTGAAGGCTGTTGGAATCGCCATGTGCAAGAGGTAAAATTTATTTAATTAGCGAGAACATGACTTATTCGGTGACTTAAAAAGCGTAAGTGTCCCTGAAAACTTCAAATTAATTAATTTTTTGGGGGTACCTTTGATCAACGCCCCCCCCCCCCCAAGTAAAACCCACATAGATATGACCATATAAAGTGATGAGCCAAAAAAAGAATGAAATTGACTTTAAAAAATACTGCCAAACTGGGAGCAAAAAAAAATTAATTTTCGATTTCCTTATTTTGACCAGCACCTGATTTTACCACGACAACACACATATTATTATCATTCTCCATTTCCACCCCCCTCTACCTCCTCTATTGCGTTGGCAAAAATAAAACAATAAATACATTTTACGGATCCATGGGCATTATATTAATTTTCTACCCCTCTCCGAACGACCTACATTGTGTTACAAAGGGCATACAAACAGAATGAGTTGTCACACATTGAAAAAAAAGAGTAATTATCATTCGCAGAGCGCAATAATACATTTCTACAATGGCGTCGCAAAGAAGTGCCAAATATCGAAATAGCGTGCCGAACACATTAAACTATTTCCTCCGCTCCATGCCGTAACAACCACCATAATGGTGCGGCTATCACAGAATGATGGGTGCTCGATGAGGGAGCTTTTTGACAAGCCTTCTCGGTATTGGTCGCTGGGGGAGGCCACGCTCAGACAATGAGACACCTCTGTCTGCTGATACATGATTGCTGAATGCTGGAAGAAACGCACTAGGTCACATTTTTTGTTTTGTTTGCTATATTAAAAAAATCAATATATTTCATCCCACAAGTGTGCATTTTCTGACTGTCTGTCTAGACTTGCTGTCTCTCTCTCCTCTCTCTCTCTCTCTCTCTCTCTCTCTCTCTCT